TAATATCCTAAAAGGAAATCTATTATAACTTTTCAGATGGTAAAAGTAATATGATTATTTGTTACATGTTTTTTTTTCATTTGGTGATGATATTACTAGCTTATAAAAAAATCTATTATCACAATGTTTTTTCAATCTTATTCATACAACAAGGAACAATGCCCAAATTATTCATAAATAAATTTCATTAAAGTATATTTCTGGTATACCCGAAAATACCCAACCCGAATCATCAACCCGGATACCCGAACTATAAGACCCGAATTGTAAATAGCTCATGTTTCGGTTCATATTATTTTATGAAAAAACTCAAATTACCCGAAGCTCGAAAATTACCCAATCAATAGACCTAATTAGCAACAGTGATTAGTAGTAGATAATAAGCAATAAAAAAAGATAAAACAAGGGAAAATTAGTCCTATGTTAAAAGCATAACATCTAAACTGTTAGATTTAACAATGCAAGGACCACCGGTGGTAACAAAACCCTCCATAGGGATCACTAATTCACCCATGACAAAAAGCGAATAGTAGGACCAAAAGCGCTATTTTGGCAAAACTATAAAGACCAAAAATGTGTTTTAATCTAAAATGAATTAAATATATATTAAATAACAGAAATATGACCAGATCTCGTAAAAACGAGGAAGTTCGAGTAAAGCGAAAGATGGAAGAAGGAGAGTTCATGAAGTAAATCAGTGAATTGAAAATCATAGTACAGTCGATTTAAGTATATGACTTGTAATATTGAGGAGAAATCATTCTGGGTTGAACTGGGAGCCGATTTATTAGTCGAGGTACGTTGATTATATATGTAAAGTTTGCTTAAGTTGTGTTAAATTAATGGTTGTAAGATGTTTAGTTGTTGGGATGTATGCTAAATCAAGACATAGAACTAACTTAGAAGAAAGTTGAGTTGATATTGTGTTTCCTGACCTAATTTTGTCAATTTCTCGATTAAAATGGGTAATGGTGATTTGAGTGAATTAGGCAATGTTAAGTAATGAAATTGAGAATATTATATATTATGCTAAAACTATGGGATGATGTCAACTTAAGTAAAAAAGAATCAACTAAATGATGAGGTCACGTATTGTGTTGCAGGTTTTCCATATCTCAGTTACTTGCAACAATATTATTTCTTCCTTTAATTTGATAACATCAAAAAGATTAGGGTCCCACATTGACACAAGCTCACCAGATCTTTCAATTGCCTCAGCTACTGCATAATTGCATGTTTTTTTTCCCCAACAAAAGTAACCTGATTTTTAAGCACCATATTTCTAACCCAAGCTCTCTTAAAATCCTTCTCCACTCCATTTATATTGATAGATAAGCACTCTAACATTGTTTCTTAAAGACAGCATTCTTTTTCATTTATATTGGATTCAGTGAGTTTTGATCCCCAGACACTTCAAATACTCTTTCTTTTACTTTCCCTGAAAACATCTCCTGCTTACACTTTTTTCCTTTGAGGTTGTGAATGTTCTTCATTTTGCTTTCCTTATTTTATAAATGTAGTAATGCTTTGTTGACAATCACTTTCTTCGAACCAAACTCCACCACTCCATGTGCTCTGGACCAATGGGATCACCCTCAAAATTTACAAACTTTTCTGTTTGGACCAACTTTATCTTTTTTTCTCATAATTACCATTTTAACCTCTCTTAAGTATTGGAAACCGAGATAATATAACAACTTCGTAGCAGAACAAGTGTTGATATAGAACCATAAAGTGCCACTATATATGTTGTTATGCTCAAAAGCGAAAGGGATAAATGCAAGAAGTAGCAACCTACTTTATAGCATCCTACTTTCATTTATTTTAAAGAAACATACCAATGTTTGGACCACCCCCATCTGCTGCTAACTGAAAGTGCTTAATTATGCTTTTTCTAGAGCCAATTAGACAGGTTATTGTAATTACTTTTAAAAACAAGTAAGAAAACATCAAATCACTATATACAACATAATCAGCCATTCAATGTTGTATTCCTATAACACTATTAGTTACCAAAATATAAGCATATCTAGTAGGTAAGACAAGAGAATAAAAGAATGGCATCAGTTAGTAGAAATGCTATATATAGTTATAATGTTTTGCTATTGATGAGATTGAATTCAATACCTAGACAATGCCTCTGTAGTACATACATTAAGTTTCAATTTGGTTTAAGAAAGGGAGGGCTTGAATTGAGATGTGGATTAGTCTTTAGTGGAATGTCTTTGAGCATTCTTTTTGTTATAATTAAGTAGGTTATATTATAAAACAGAGCAACAAATTAAAATTTGTCAATTCATGTAGCAGGTGAAAACATTGCAAATAGGCATCTGGCGAATGTCAAAGAATGTAAATTCTTGCAAGATATATCATGGTTATTAATTTTTAAATATGCCGACCACTGGGCTTTGAAAATTCTTCATGTTAATTACTTTACTGTAGGTTATACACACATTTTAGCTATCCAAAACATTCTAATTTTGTAGGGTTTTTTTATCATTATATTTATGTTGGTCCAACCTACAGAACGTGAAAAAGCTTTTATGTATTCATTATCTCTTGTGTTATGATGCTTTCCTTGTTTCTGTAATTTTAGTTTTTCCCTTGGTCCAACCCTTTTGTATTATGTGTTTTGAGGGTATATATATATATATATATATATATATATATATATATATATATATATATATATATAATGACTAACCTTGCCCTTTACTTTATTTGATTTGTTTCTTTAGGTCATTGAAGATGCATCATTATATTCCAAACCATGTCACAGGTCATTTTTTTTTAACTCGAGTGGGTGAGTTTTTCTATGTGAACCTTGTAAAATTGAAAAACACCATGTCTTCTATACACCACACTTTAATAAAATAATCAAATAAACAGACCGAATGTTTCCTGTAATTTAGGGAACCCAAGTGTCAAAGATATAACATAAACTTTGGGGGCTACTTTGTGGACTTTAAGAATCATATGTGAGGTAACATATTCACAAGTTCATGTATCATTTAATGTAGTTTTTTAAATTCACAAGTTCCTGTATCATTCCTGACTTTAATACATAAAAATAACAATATAGTTTTAAAATAATGTGATTCAGGAGATTGTAAATATTAGATTACACTTTGAATAAGTTTTAAAAAAAAAATATATATTTTAGGTATTTCTGTAAATCATTAAATTTCAAAATCAAGTTTATAATCTTTAATTATGATAAGTCTTAAAACCATCATATATATTGTTTTTGTGGGCAAATGCATTTACGTGTGACATGGGGAATTGATTTAGCCAAAAATCACTTTCTTTGATTGAGAGAAGTAAAAAGAAAAATAGCCCATGACCAAATCAATACAATTATGTGGATACAAATCAAACATTGACTTCCATGTCTTATTTTGGTCAATGGAAAAGTAAATATAAATAGACTATAAGCATGCAGTCTTGTCTTGTGGAAACAAATTTTATTTTCATATACACTCCACAAAATGCAATGTCAAGTCTTGTACCCTTCTCCAGCATACTGTTAGGAACAAGCTAAAAAATCAAAAATTAAAATACGTTTTCTTTCCTTGACACATTAACATTGTTACATCAAATAATACTAAAAACAACTTGTTCTGTTGTATCTAGTTTTTTAAATCGTTGAAACCAAAAATCATTTTTATAATATAGAACAATAATTTACAAAAATTTATAATCTATCTTTGATATCTCAGACACATAAATGCTTGTTTGTCAATATATATTGTGCTTTTTTCAATTCATAAATTGTTAAAGACTTGTGACCAAGTAATTACGTGTGCTATGGGGAATAAACTTAGACCAAAACCACTTATTTTGATTAAGAGAAAATTAAAAGTGAACCTGGACCAAAAGAATACAAGTTTGTGGATACAAATTGTCCAATGACTTCCATGTTGACTTCAAAGTCTTATGTATCATTTTCTTGTGAACAAATTCCCAAGTACATGTATCATTACTGACTTAAATATATTAAAACGATAATGTAGTTTTTAAATTCACAAGTTTGTGTATTTTAATTTATAAAAATAATAATATAGTTTTTATAAATAATGTGATTCAAGAGATTGGAAGTATTAGCTCATGACCAAAAAATACAATTTTGTGGATACAAATTAAACATTGATTTCCATGCCTATTTTGGGGAAAAGTAGATATAGACAAAGACCAAAAGCATGTGGATAAACTTGTTTCATCACATTTTTTAAAACACTTGAATATTGTAGTAGTGAATGATATACTGCTTAGTTTTCAACTTGTAATTTTGTTGTGATAAATTAAAATTATTATTTTCATATAATAACATAAGACAAATAAAGAAACTGAATATTGCATGTGATTTAGGGAGGCCAAGGTCTGATACAAGTAATGTCAAAAATAATAATAAAACTAAATGGAGCCTCTTGTGTATCATAAATGTGAACATATTGATTAGTAATCTTGAACACTGTTTTTATTTAGACTTAATAATAATATCAAAATAATAACATGATCTCTAAATAATGTGATTGGAAGCTTGTAAGCATTAGATTTCCACTCATTTGGCCTGCTCAACCCATCTAGCAGTTTCATATTTAGCCACGATTTTAAATTCCCAGTTTATAATTGTAACCATCACTTAAAAATATTTATAATGTATCTGTGATTTATCAAAATGGAGATGCTTGTTTGTCAAATACTGTGTTTTATTCAATTCATATTTTGTTAAAAATTTGTGGCGAAATAGAATTCCATGTGCTGTGTGGAATAGTCTTGTCCCACAAACCACTTTTTTTTATTGACAGACAAAAAAAAAATAGCATAAGAATATAAGGTTGTGGATACAAATTCTCCTTTGACTTCCAAGTCTTCCAATATTCATTTATGGCTTTATAAACGTACTCGTTGCTTCATCATAATAACCCATCACTTCTTCATCACATCCCCTCTTTTCTACTTCAACTTTGTTCTAAACTAAAACTGAGTTAAGGTTGATAATGGGGATCCATCTCATTTTCATATGTGTGTTTTTGTTTGCAGCCACATATACTTGTTTGGGGGTTGGAAATGTTAGTGTCCTTTGCTCTGAGCAAGAGAGAGTTGCTCTTCTCAACTTCAAACACAGTATCCAAGATCCTTTTGAAATGTTGTCATCATGGGTTGGGAATGAATGTTGCCTGTGGGAAGGAATCCAGTGTGACGGTGTCACTGGAAATGTTCAACGCCTTCATCTCAAAGGAGATTCGCCCTACCCCTACAATTACTTAGCTGGTAACAAGGTGAGTTCTTCTTTGGCAGAGTTGAGGCATCTCAAATACCTCGACTTGAGTGGGAATGATTTCCAAGGAAGTCAGATCCCTGAGTTTATTGGATCCTTGAAATACCTGAGTTACCTGAATCTCTCTTATGCTCGTTTTGGTGGTATCATTCCTCCTCACATTGGAAATCTTTCTAATTTAAAGGTTCTTGATCTCAGTTCAAACTATTATGAAAACTTTCTGAAGGCAGATGATATGGCGTGGGCTTTTAGCCTTTCGTCACTCGAGCTTCTCAACTTGAGTTATGTGGATCTTAGTGGAGCACAAAACTGGGACATGATGCTTCACATGATTCCCTCCTTAAAAGAGTTAAGTTTGTCACAATGTAGACTTTCCAATGTTAATCTTGGTCCTTTTCTTAATTCCAGTAGAATACTTCCTAATATAAAACACCTCGATCTTGGCTACAATTCTTTCAAAGGTCCACTCCCTGGCCTTCTTCAAAACATGACATCTCTAACATTCCTCAGTCTTTCCGGATTTAATCTTAGTTTGGCATGGAACTTTCCAAACCTACTAAGCATGATCCCTTCTTTGTCAGAGCTTCATATGTCAGCTTGTGGGCTGGATAAGACGCATCTATCTTCTCCGCATTTTAATTACGGTACACTTTCTAACATCCAGCACCTCGATCTTAGCAATAATCCACTTGGAGGTATATTTCCATCTGTATTGACAAACATGAGCTCCTTAGAAGTCCTTGACCTTTCAGATACCATGCTGAATTCATCGATTCCTACTATGCCTAAACTTCTAGAGCTTCATCTTTCTTCTAACAAGTTTAAGCAGATTGAGGATGTTGGAATCTGGAGACAGTGCCACCTGAAACAATTAAGTGTAACAGATAATGAGTTTGGTATGGAAATGATTGACCCACCAAAAAATGCATCAGAGTGCTCCATATATGCTTTGGAGTTTCTGGAATTAAGTCGGAGTTTAAATGGTAGAATTCCAGAAACACTTGGAAGACTGGTGAATTTAAGACACCTTGATCTATCGCAGAATGGACTGACTGGTTCAATCCCTGAATCTGTAACAGGATTAAGATTTTTACAAGTAGTATATCTATATGAAAACCAGTTGACTGGTCCCATTCCAGAATTCCTTGGGAACCTTACCCAACTTGTCCTTTTTTCCAACAAATTGAATGGTTCAATTCCAGTTTCAATTGGGCAACTTGCCAAACTCCGTCATCTCTATATCTCTAACAATTCTTTAGAAGGAGCGGTTACCGAAGCCCATTTTTCTAATCTTTCAGTGTTGAAGGTCTTGGAAATGAGTAAGCTGACATTCAATGTTTCACGTGGGTGGATACCTCCATTCCAGTTGATATATCTTTCTCTCAGCTCTTGCAATATCGGGAATGGATTTCCGCAGTGGCTTCGACATCAGAGGAAACTTGGGATGTTAGAGTTGTCCAATGCTACACTTTCGGGGCCGCTGCCCACATGGCTGCGGAAGATGCCCATCATTCCTACTTTAGATCTCTCTCACAACAAACTCAGCGGATCTTTGAAAAACCTTCCTAATGCGAAAAATGATGATGTATATGGGTCTTTTGCTCTATTACTTCTGGAATATAACCTTTTCAATGGGTCAATTCCAAGGTCATTATGCAGAAGAACAGATTTGGAAGGGCTTGATCTTTCAAGAAACATGTTAAGTGGGAAAATTCCCAACTGTATGGGGAATCTGCAGCGTTTGACTATCATGAGTATAAGCTCAAATCAGCTCTCTGGTGCCATTCCTAGCTCAATTGCTCTTATTTCATCATTATTTTGGTTAAATTTGAACAAAAATAACTTTACTGGTGAAGTTCCTCCAGAATTAGGGAATCTACAAGGTTTGGGAGTCTTAGATTTGGGTGACAATAAATTATATGGAAATATACCCAATTGGATAGGGAAACAACTTACATCTTTGGTAGTTTTGAGTTTACACAAAAACAACTTCACTGGTAGAATTCCTCCATCTCTTTGCAAAAGTTCAAATCTTCAAATTTTGGATCTTGCATACAACAACTTAACCGGAACCATCCCTCCGTGTGTAGGAAACTTAAATGGCATGGTTGTGGGTCACTCGATGAATATGTATTATTCAGATATCGATGATGATAAGAATGTGATTCAGGTCATGAAAGGTGTTGATCTTGAATATACAACAACTTGGAGAATGGTTTATAACATGGACCTTTCAAGCAATAAACTTGTGGGAGAAATACCGGTCGAGCTAACTGCACTTAACATGTTGGTGGGTCTGAATCTGTCTAATAATCATCTGAGAGGGGGTATTCCAGAGAGCATTGGAAAGATGATGAATTTGGAAACTCTTGATTTCTCAAAAAACGAGTTGAGCGGGAGGATCCCTTCAAGCATGGCGGCTTTGACTTTTTTGAGCCATTTGAATTTGTCACACAACAACTTGTCGGGTCAAATTCCAACAGGAAATCAACTGCAGACGCTTATTGATGATCCATCAATATATGCTGGGAACAAACATCTATGTGGACCTCCATTGCAAAACACTTGCTCAAATCATCAAGATTCAACAACAACAACAAGCAAGAAGAAACACAAAGCAGCTGATGAGAAGATGGAGGTATGGTTGTTTTATGTGGATATAATGAGTGGTTTTGGAACAGGGTTTTGGGGTGTTATTGGAGTTCTGATGTTCAAGAAGCAGTGGAGACACAAACTTTTCATGTTTGCTGAGGAAACCATTGATAAGATATACGTTGCAGTTGTGGTAAGAGTTGCCAAGTTCAAGAGAGGAAGAGAATAGCTGCATAGATCATGTGGAATGCATGTAGTTCTTGAATGCATGTTATCAGTGATGGTTTTGCTTTTGAGATATGCTTATTCTAATGTATTACTATTTGGATTTTGTATTTGTATGACCTTTGTGATATCAGTGTTGTTTACAGGTGCTAATTTACAATATTTCTTTTGGATTTGGTATTTATACATGATCAAGTTGTAGATTTAGATTACTATGTATTTGAGTTGTAGATTTTTTTTTTCTTTTTAATTCTCGACCTTCTGCTGCTGCTCTCACTCCCAACATGCGGTTGCATCCCTCAGTTTTCCTCTACATTGGTCCAAGTAAGTAAGAACCATGTAACTGACTCATTATTTATTTCTTCATTTGTAAAATTTCTAGTTTTTCATGTTTAGAAAGAGGATGTTTGGGTGAAAGGTGGAGGTTTTTTTTTTTTTTTTTTTTTGTTGGATTTGGTATTTAGATAAGACTATGGTCTAGTATGAATCTGCAATGGTAGTGATCTTGGTTGATTGTTTGATACTATATTATTTCTAAGTTTGTGATATTTAGATAAGACTATGGTCTAGTATGAAAGAGGATGTAAAGAGGGTCATAAAGTCACTTCTGATACTATATTATTTCTAAGTTTGTGATATTTTGTCAGTTTTTTTCATTTTGGATTTTTCTTGACCCATCCCCTTTCTACTTATGTGTTTTAAGTTTTTCATATATTGTATCATGCTTACCCTAGTTGTTTACTTTATACATTTTGTTTCTTAATTTAGATCATTTTGAGTGCATCATCGCATGGCTCATCATGATTGCTCCTCTCCTCCATTAAACCATGTTAATTACTGGTGAGTTTTGTTGTGTACTTTGAATTGCTTCAAGTGGATAAAATATTTTGCATGAACCATATAATTTGAAAACACATTGTCTAATATATACCACAGCCTGATTAAATAATAAACACAAATAAATAAATAAAATGAATGTTGCATTCAGTTAAAGCAGCCCAATGTTTAAGGTTTAATACAGTGAAAAAATAATAATAGAACAAATATGTGAACTTTGGGGGATACTTTATCGACTTCAAATTCATATGTGAGGTCTACCGTGAAAGTAATTAGACTTCTTATGAATAGATTGGACTAGTTATCCTCAAAAAAGCATTTTTGTTCCAAAAGAATAAAAAAATTTGTTGCAATTTTGGTGATTATTTTGATGTTTTATAGCAATTTTGGTCATGTTCCAAGTAAAGTTACCATCTTACTGTTTATCTAAAAATATTGTAAGTTCATATATATTAAAATGCCTTTGAACATTCTTTTTATTAAATTTGTTTGCAGTTTTGGTTATATTTTTAATGGAACAATAAATTATTAAATTTGTCTATTGTATCAGGAGAAAATTACCAATTGTGTTTGGAATCTACCATGAGATTACGCTCAAATCAGCTCTCTAGTATCATTCCATGTTCAATTGCTCGTAATTCATTATTATATTGCTTAAATTAGGTGTGAGACCCATGTATTACACGAGTTTATTAAAAATAAAAATTTAATATCAATATTTAATCATTAAATATTTTATAAAATAATACTTTTACATAACATAATATAATCTTTTGTAATATTTATAAAAGAAATCAAATATTCTTTATAGCATTTATTAGACTTTATTATCAAATTAATAGAATGATTCTCTTTCCTTATATGAAATTTTATTTTAAAAAAATGAAAATTCCTAAAAAATAACAAGTGGAAAATAATAATTATAAAACTCCCATAAAATTACAAGTGGCAAAACTCTTGACAATTTGACAAGTGGCAAAAAAACCTTACATATTTGGTAGTTTTGAGGTTCAACAAAAACAACTTCACTGGTAGAATTCCTTGATCTCTTTGCAAAGATGGGATCTTGATTTCAATGTACAACGTCCAAAAGCTTAACTTGAACATGGGTGGGTAATAAATTCAATTATGGATAATATTCTGTTCTTCCCTTTCTGAAGTAAATTCGTGAATTTTCTTCACGAAAATCATTTGATTTTGGAATAACTAACAAATTAGCAAATGGGTGTTGTTTTACAAGAAGCAATCGGTCATTACAAGGCCCTTATGACCCAATTAACATCATGAAGAACTAGGTAAGTATTGTATACTAATTCTTGTAAAAAAAAGCATGGTGGTTGTTTTGTGAATCCAACCATGAAGTTTGAAAATTTCCATTTTTCAATCAATAATTGGTACTACATTCATCTTTATGAAGGTGCTTCAACGCCGATGATTACATCTACTTCAAGGTCCTTGTGAGTTTTTATGTTCTTTCGATTTTTTACTCAGATTATACATAAACCGACATACTGATGTTTATGGGTAATGGATTTTTAGGTTGATGTTAATATATATCATGTGTAAACCATAATATGCTCAATAATTTGCAATTATTGATGAAATAATCAAGAATCGACCCAAAATCATGCATTGATTGGTGATATTCTACACCATGTTTAGCTATGGTCGTTAATTTTATAATTGACCCAAAATCATGCATTGATTGGCTTGATTCTTTGTTTTGCAGCTTGTCGATCTGTGTGTGAATGCTAACTCAGGTGATGCCTTCATTTGATTCAACTTAGTGTGTTTAGTCTTAAAGAGAAATATTATATACTCCCTTTGTTTTAATGAAATTGCTTTAGGTTATGTATCTTTCATCTTATGACTTATATTTCATCTCACATCTGTTTTAAGGTTGCTAGAAGTTACATTTCTGGTATAAAGGGTGTCCCTGGTTGTACTTGCATACTTTGTTAGTCGGTATTAGATACACACCATATATAGGTTATGTTGTAATTTAGTTGCTATCTACAGTCAAAGCCAAACCATTCTTGTTCCATTCATATATGTTTTTTTACAATTAACTTTCATCACGTGCATTGTAGCAATTATTCTAATAAACGTTTATGGGTTGTGTTCTTTAATGCTTGCTGATCTCGAAGTGGTGGTTCGATGGACTCACAAAGTGGGAAACAAAAGGAAGAACAAACGAAGAGACCGATAAGGGTAACAAAGTGGGCGTGATAAACTCATTAGGACATCGCTTTATTTATATAAGGGGGTGTCCAATCTTGGGTTAACTGTGGACCAGAGTCAATTGCCACATAAGCTGTGACTAGACAGCCACCTCACCGTTTTTTACTGATTTGTCATGGAAACTTTTTATTACAGGTCAAGGGATCATTTCAACCGGTCAATTTATATGTCGTTCCCTTAATGTACAAAAAAGATTAAATGGGTGACCTTTTAAAACAAACTTGACAAGTTCGTTAGGATAACATGACATTTTCCCTTTTCCTATTAACAAATCCACATGTTCGTGTATCTCATTTCCGACTTAGATATATCGAAATCATAATATCGGTATTTAAATTTATAATTTCGTGTATCATTTCAAGAGATTGTAAGTATTAGATTACACTTTGGATAAGTTTCAACGTGCTCCCAACCTGTTTGTTTCTTTGTCACTTTAGCCCAACCAATTTATCACTTTTATTTTAAAAAGTTTGTCATCTTATTATTATTATTATTATTTTTTGCATATGAAGGGAACCAACTTGTGTTTTACCCATTATAACCGGTTAGGTTAGTTATTTGGCTTTCTTATTTGGCTAGAAAGTGTTGACATGTAGCTTCGTCATTCTAATTTCTTCCCATCTGTCAAACTTTCATCTACATCTCAACCATATGGCGGTTGGTTTAGTGATAAACTGATAACAATTATAAAGTCTTCCCATATGTGGAGATAAAGGCAAGAGAAAGGCGTGTACACACATACACATTGCTCAGTTTCACCCCTGCCTCCCCATTACCAAAACTCTAGTGCATACAGAGAAGATCAATGGAGAAGTACTTAGGAAACGCGTACAAAGGAGACGCATGTGTTCATATACATCTCTTTCCTTTTCAATTTCAGTTATTTCTAACATTTTCCTCAATTTCTCGATGCCTTCCTTCGATCGTGTGCTTTGTTTGTTTAGTTTCTCATCGAACATAATCACTTTATTTCTATTTTAGGTATAAACAAATTGAGATTTTCTATTAGGGATTCTGATCATCAAATTTTACAGAAATGTTTTTCGTTCCATGTTTTAGAGTCCCATGGAAATTTAACTTGAAGTTCAATATATAAAATGAATCGCTTGACATAAATTATGCGTTCTTTCTGCTCGTTAGTTTTCAGGATGAACTTGGGAATGGCATCTGGTAAGCGGTCAGCCAACTTCAGGAAAATTGATTATCATGTTCAGAACCGTCAGAGCTCCTCCCATGTGTGTTACTTGAAGGAGGTCAATGTTGTCCAAACACAGTGGCGATTGAGTTGAGTTACACACAACGGTGATAAACGATCCCTAGAAAGAATCTGGTAACTCCACCCTATACTAGGATTTTGTAATCGTAGGAGGCGATGGTTAGATCAAAGGGCGACATCGATGAGGGTTGTTGGAGATGATAACAAGGAGACATCAATTTTTGAGAAGATTGATCACAAGCAAAGCAATTTCAAGTAGTTGATGATCTACAACGAGTATTTTGGTCTGAGAGTGTGTGAGAACGGTTGTTGGCAGTGCAGAGGACATATCTGGTCATCAGAATAGCAAAATAAAGTACTGACATCGTCAGAATATTTGGTGTCAGCGTTGCTACTTGCAGTGGCAGCGAGGATACAAAGAATCATTGTGGTGCTCGTGTAAAGAACAATATGTAGAGGAGTAAGATGTCGGTGACTTTAGTGTCACCATGTCATTTTATGTAACTTGAATTAGCATGTGAGCTGAGGGGCTTCTTAATTTGTTTTCTAATATGTGTACGGGTTGGTGCGGAGTGCACGCATGTATAAGATCAAATTAGTAGCCGGTTCGACGACTAGTCGGGGGTCTGGGGGGAGCGCCCCTGGGTCCGGGGTTTCCAAAGGGGCAGCGCCCCTAGCGGGGTCCAAGGGGCAGAGCCCCTGGCTGGGGT